GTCTGACCGCCACGCCGCTTCTTCCAGCCTTGCCCGGCACGTGCGAAGAGAGCACGGAAAGGTAGTCTGTGGGAAGACATACGCAATACGTGGCCAAGCCACTGGAGGCGGCGAGAGCGATTACTTCCGTTAGAGAACGACTATCCGCACCGAACACACGACGATGAATCTCGTGATTGCTCACCCGGTGTTTCCACCAGACATGAGCAATGCTTCGGAGACATCGGTGGTCAACTACAGGTCTCGCAACCGTAAAGGAGAACGCTACGAACCGCGGCGATGTACACCCTTCCCTTAAGGGNACAGGTGTCGCAGGTTGGCGAAAGCTGTTCTAGCTTTCGCTATTCATGATATGGTCTCCCCAACACCCCCACCAGCTGCGATCAAGCTCCCGAGGTACTCAAAGCTCTCAACTACTTCCAGCTGATCACCACAGAGGGTGAGTGCAGGCACGGGCTCCTGCCAGTCATGAGCAAACACTTTGATGGTGCAAAGCACATACCATACCTTGATACCTCTATCGCCAAGCGGCTCAAAGCGTTTTGGCTGCCTGTATATTGTCACCCAGCAAGGCGATGTCATCGACATATTACAAGTCAAGAACTCTGTTCCCTGAGAGTTCGACTCCACCGTTTGCTAAACCGGACAAAGCATTCTTTAGAACAACCTCTATGGTGAATTTGAAAAGGAATAAGGATATAAGGCAGCCTTGCCGAACTTCACCAGAGACGGCGAACGGTAGAGAAAGTTGGCCATGGGCCCAAACCCGACCTGAGGTATGACGATACAACTCTTTGAGGATCGACACATACTCCTCAGGAACTCCATTCTTCAACAAACAGTTCCATAGTGCGATCTTATCGACAGAATCGAAGGCTACAGGGATGTCTAAGAATCCAATGATCGTTGGTCTTTGGTAGGCATGACGGTGCTAGGGCATCTGTCGTAGGATGAAGATTTGATCGATGCATCCACGGCCGGCACGAAACCCAGCATGCTCCTCACGCAAAGTGTACAATCGGCGGAGGATGAATGGACGCCAACAGCTTTGACGCTCTTGGGATAAGGCTTATACCCCTATGATTGGTGCAGTTACTGCGCGGACCCTTTTTGAAAATGGGGACGACAATCGATTCCCCCCACGAGGAGGGGACTTGCTCAGTGTTCCACACTTTAGAGAACAGAACTTGTAGTTCTCTAACAAGCTTAGTTCCGCCACGTTCAAATAGGGCTGGGGAAAGGTCATCGGGGCCCAGCGCTTGGTGACGTCCCAAAGCTTGGATCTCCTTACGGATTTCCGTCTCAGAAGGTGGGTCTGTTGAGACAGACGGGGAGACGTGTGCCGGAATAGCTGTGTGAGAGGCTGACGCTAAAGGCCAGCTAAACTGTGCCTTGAAGTGCTCCACCTAGCATGCAAGACGTCGCTGTTGACTATGAATGGGCGAGGCATCAGCTTCGCAGATCGTTTCGCTCACACCTAAGGCTTTCCTTCCAGTGACCCGGATGAGATGGAACAGATTACGGGAATTACCCATGGCGGCAGCACGTACCATCTCTGACGCGCGTGGAGTCCACCAGATCTCGCGGTCTCTGAGTAGGCTTGTAATAAATTCACGTCTCGTTACGAGTCGTGTTTCATTATGCGGTCGGAATAGACCGACGTGCGTCCAGAAGGCGTAGAGACTCTGTAGAGATCCAGGGTGTCATGGCGCGTGGTGTCAGACCAAAACTAACTAAGCCAGCAGAATGCATCGCATTCTTGATATGCGACCAGTGCTGGTTAACGTCATCGGGTGGGGTTGATACTAGCTCTGCAGCTAGTGCGTTTTGGAAGACAGCTAGACAAGCTGGTTTGGACAGCTTATCGCAGTCTAACCGTCGTTGAGTTGTGCGTTTGGGACGCCAACCGAAGCACATAGACAGCGTAGGGCATATTTATGCGTGGTCTATATATGAGGGAAGTGCTCCACTAAGATCGGCAGTCTTGAATGCAGCCCCGGCATTTGTGGTTTATCGCGATGTGGTCGATCTGCGTCCATCTCTGACTCGAGGATGGCGGGCGCCAAGTGGCGTACCGGCAGTTGGAGCGTATAAAGTTCGTACTGGTGAGGAACAGGCGGCGGTCGGAACACAAAGCCAACAGTCGCTCCCCATTTTCTGAGCGACAGGAATCTAGTCCGAAAGGACCTCCCAGGTGCGCCTCACTCGAAGTCTCCTGCTAAAATCACGATATCAGCCCGGGGCGCTTTAGGCAAGAGGTCGTGCAGATTGTGGTAAAATTCATCTTTGGCTGCATCTGGGCTGCAGTCTGTTGGAGCGGATGCCGATACGACAAATAAGTCTGGTCTATCGTGGCGATGGCTGCTTACCTTGCACGAACCTCTGAGTCTCACTGCGCACAACCTACTGTCAACTGGGATCCAATCCAGGAGGGTGGCCTCAGCTCTCTTAATGAGAGCTACGCCGACGCCAGAAAGATCGGAAGCCGCAGCCTCAGGGTCCTTAGAGAGGCGTAAGTGAAACAGATTGGTCAAATGGGGACGTCAGTCGGATAGTGGAGCTGGAGTCTTGAATACGAGTTTCTTGGATGTAACACACATCGATGGCTAGGGTTTCGAGCGTACAAGCTAAACATGCCTGCTATCCTATACGCATCAGAGTACGCACATTAAACGTGGCTAATTGGAAGGACGTCGAGGGCAAAGAAGAGCTTCAGCTGGTGGAGGATTCGGTGAGACTTGGACAGCAGTGGAGGTAGGGCAAGAGCTAACAGCGACATAATTTCCGCCCGAGGCACTACTGTAGTAGAATCGTCTGAAGTACCCGAAAGAGATGGTATAGAGTTGGAGGGAGGCTGGGAGAACGAAAGGGTATGTATAGTGTAGAAAGTCTATCGATTGTTGAAGGCTGAGAGTGCGAAATCATGAGAGCGAGAACGTTCATAGTTGTCTGCGTTGTGGGCTATCGTACTACTCGTTCGCCCAGTCCAGAGTAGGCTTTCTTCCGGGACGCACTCTAGCCTTTGCGCAACCAAGTGCGGACTGCAAGGCAGCAGTTATGTTCCAAATGAGCCGGTGGCCGCTTTTCGGTTCATTCGCCTCTTGTGGAAAGCCTTGTCCTGCAAAGGAAATCGACTAGGGCCATATTTAGTGGCGGGCCACACTCGCCACGTCACAGCGCTGTCCACAGATATTTGTGTTTTCTGCGGAGAACCCTTGCTAGGAGTTAAACCCACCACATCCTCGAGCGCTACCGCTGGTCGTCCGCGACCGCTTATTCGGAGGGCTGAAGCCCACCTTATTCACGATCAGCCACGAGATGACGGCCGTTCCCCTATCCGCGACCTGGGGACGCGCTCGGTAGCATATAGATCTGCTCTTCCGAGGCTAGAGGTGCGCCCTCAAAATAAAAAAAGACGCCGATTGACTTTGGGGACGTATCTCAAACAAAACACTCAAGGACCCTCATGATCATCTCTGGAGTCGGCTCATCCTTTCCAAGAAGCCAGCCGCAGTAGAGTAATTAGTTCCTTCATGGAGTATTGGGAGGCAATCAGTTGCCTTGCAGTTATTGTCGTAAAAGCAATTAAGATCACATAATAATACAAATGGATTCCTTGTATAGAAAATTAACCACCCTTTCATGATTTTTGTTTACTTAGATGATTTCTAATGAGGATACAGTTTATCTTGGAACGTTTGCTAATTGTGTTAATTCCTTTTTTCTCATACATCTTAGTTTATATGCTATTTTATGCTTAATTTCAGATGGTACGATCAATGAACTTTTTGTACATTTATTCAAACCATCTCAGTCATTTTTTAACCTAAAATGGATTTAACTCATGATTGAATCAAAAGCAAGGACATAATCAGGTGTTTGTAAAGCCCAAAAAACAGATTGAGAAAAACAACGCGGCAGGCAAGCTAGTTCTCAGTTATTCATGATCATGACGACATGACATTTAATATGATTGGTAATAACATAGTGGGAATGACAGGTTACCGTCTTCGTGTATCATATCAGAATATGATTGTGTGCACATGTTCTGAATGCTGTTCAAATGATTGCATCGTTGGGTTGGATGAAATAGCCCAGAGGGGGGGAGCACTCGCACAATACGCTTGTGAGCACACAGAAAGGCTTTTGTGGATGCCAATCATTGAGGCTTCGGTTGCTACACTTGACTGCTCATGCTTTCCTACCTCGAGCATTGTAAATTAGACGAAACGTGCTGATGGAATTCACTGATTAGTTAAACTCAACAAAGTGAGAACTCACCGCGCCCATAATTACCTTAATTGCTCTCTTGTTGCAACCGAATTAACCTTTTACCGAATGAGTACTAATCGATTTCACATTTTTTATTTGCACATGGTTATAGGCTTCACGTTTGCAGTAAGTACAATCAATTTTTAAGATAGTAATTGCATTTCGATATATTTTGCGTCGTCGATTTGTGCGAACCCCAAAGAATATCGGTATTATACTATATTCGTTTATTACATTCATGCAGTAAAAGATAATGTTTAGGTTTTGTTTTTGCTTTTTTATCACAATGCGTTAAGTGGTTGACATTAAACTGATTGCTGTTTACCCTGGTATTTTCAAAGTTTTGTCAATGAATTGTTTTGACTGTTCTGCTGATTCAGGGTTTGTTGTATGTTGCCGCGACTCTCCTTAGACCTTCAATGCTGAAAGAATATTATTATTAAAATTATATTTACGCCTCCTTTAGATAGTCCTCCTTTTTCACATTGTCTTTTTCCGCTCCGGGTGGTGATTTATCATACTTTGTCAATCCCATTGTCTCCAACGCATGACAGTACTTATCTAAACTTATGCTTGCTTTTTCACAAGGATCAAGCATATTGAAAATACTCTCCGCGTTTTCTTCAGTGAAAAGCGAAGGTGGGTTCCCGGTTCCATTTTTGGCGTCTCGAAGGGCGCTCAGTTGTTCAATCAAATACTTCTTTGGATTATCTGTAAAGAAAAGGTAGAAACAGAGTGCTCTGCAAAACGAACTTCTTTTGCAATAATCTTGTTTGTGAAACCGTTAACTTTTTACTGCACCATCACAAAACGTGTACTTTGCACTCTAAAGACAGCGCACACGATATTAGTTAATTATTTCCACTTCATTACCAGTCAGTTTCTTCATATATGAAGGGTGCCACTAATCATTTAGGATGTTTCTTCCAAAAGTTAATTCTAATCTCACCCGATTCCCTTGCAACAGCAGAGAAGAATGCAAGGCAATAAGTTCTCCACTTTTAACTTGAATAAAAATCCATCTCATTGCGGAGGCCGTCTACTTCCAGTTGGAAAACTAATGTTTTGCTATAACTATAACAGTAATAAACAGACTGCATTTCGCGACACGTATAAAATAACTTCACCGTCTGAACACCGCGATTCATGATGTAAGTTACATGAAAAGTAAGCCACGCATGATATGGCTTTGCAGCGCATTGCCAATTTCAATACTCTATTGTACGAAAGAAATGAGTTTGTTTTGACTATAAGATGAGTTCGTCTAGTTAATAAAGCGTGAGATGAGAAGCTGTCTCTACCTAGTTGTGTTTCGTCAGCAGTTCAAATCTAGCGATTTGACTGGAAAGCGACCATAATCATTTTTACCTATAAGGGGAGTGACAGAGATGCCGCCTTGAATTGTAGGCTAGTAAGCTTGCTATCAGTAGTAGTAGTAGGTCCTGGAGAGAATAATTCGCGACAATATGCCTAATAATTTTATAGCGAACTACACGCTGACGGAAGCTTAGCATGGATTCAGACGGGGTAAGTCCTGCCTAACAAATCTGTTACCTACCTGGATGAAGTGACTGACAGGCTTGATAAGGGGGAAAGTTTTGAGGTGTTCCCTAGATTTTGGGAAGCCTTCAACTCAATGAGCCATGGCCTGATCCTGCTGAAGCTATCACAGTTAAGAGTGCACCATGAAATCTTAAATTGGGTCAGGTGTTATTTGGTAGGCCGCACCTTCCAAGTCAGGGTAGGTGGCAAACTTTCTGAGGGAGTTTAAGTACACAGTGGAGAGCCCCAAGGCTCCGCCTTTGGATGGTTGTTGTTCTTGGTTTTCATCAACAACTTGGCACTGGGTGTAGCAAACCCACCCTTCTTGTTTGCCGATGATGCCAAAATTCTAGACCCTCCTAACAACGAAAGGATGCAAAGTGACATCAACAGGTTACACACATAGACTAAGGAATGAAGCCTGCTTTTAAACAGTAGGAAGTGCAAGCTACTGCGCACGAGAGAGCCGGTGAGCAATCTTCGGTACCTGGGGGCATCTGAATACGAAGTAATCGAACTAAATTCCGACGTGAAGGATCTGGGGATTACCATACCATACCATTACCACCTTCTTATCTTCGCGTTAGTGCTCTATAGCAGCCCAGAGAGCAAATGCAACACTGCACGGGCTGCGTAGAACAGTATCTTCTAGAGACCAGGAGGTACTTGTTCCCTTTTACAGAGTGTTTGTACGACCTTACTCGGATTACTGTTTCCAAGCGTGGGCACCAGCGTTAGTGCGGCATAAACTGGCACTCAAGAAGGTTCAACGCAACTTGATGCAGATGTTCCCCCACCTAAGGAGACTGACAGTAAAGGGCTGCGAGCACTGGGTCTGTTTTCCCTCGAGCGTAGGAGACTTAGGGGTGACCTAATCGAAACCTTTAGGGTCCTGAAGGGTTATTCGTGGAGTACCAGACACCTCTTTGAGCCAGACGGGGACCAGACAAGGCGCGGCTTCATCCTGAAGCTAAAAACACCTAGGATATACAAAACGATCAGGGTCAACTTTTGCTCGCTGCGTATCATCAACAGATGAGATAGTCAACTTTGGCAGCGTACACGCCCTGAAAAAGAGGCTTGATGCATCTTGGGACACACTGATTCCCGAGTGTCCTTAGAAGCAGCATCGAAAATGTCACGTCAACAGGTATGCATTCAGTCCCTTTTCAACATTATCTTACCCTTCAATCCCTTTAATTTCCAAGGTAACCGTTCCCCTTTCACATCCCACGTTCTCAGGACAAGTAATCTTCGACTTTCACAGCTCTTTCTTAATATGGGTGCCTTGAGAGGGAGGGATGTGAATTGTCGCATTGTCTCTGAAGCTATCTCTGATATTGTTCGGTCACCCATGGGTCCGTCAGCATGTCTAACCTTAGAAACGCTTGGAACACAAGCGACTGTTGAAGCACCGTGTTGCCCACTTCGAGCTCACCTGGTGCAAGAAACTGGACTCCATCTGGCTTCGCCGCAAGTGCTGTATATATGTATATATTTCTAAATAGTGGGCAATCAACGAACGGCTGAGTGCTACCCGAGTAACCTAATTAAGTTAAAACCTAACTTGGTAAGTTCCCAGGTACCTAATGCGTCGTCCGTTACTAGTGCCCTAATAGCCGGCTATATTTAAGGTACGGGGCCAAACTTGTAGCCCATTATTTTAGAATGATAATAATATAATAATAACATGAGCCGTGGCTGGTTTATAATAATATAAATATACTTATATTACTGGATGTGTATATAACTAGTACATAGAAAATATAGTTTATATTATATATTTATAATATATTATATTATAATTATTATATAAAATTTAAAAAATTAGAATTCTTCATGCATCAGTTGGAAATAAACTAAACCTTTAAGAAATAACTGTAGCTATTTAGATCTATATATAGATCTAAAAACAGTTATATATATATATAAACACCCAGTCCGCACAGCCGTCTTATCCGAGTCCCGTGGGGATCCCATTGGAGTCCGTTTGCACCATAAACGAGACCCCAATGGGACTCATGTAGGACTCGAATGGGATTCTATGGGAGGGCTCTCGAAAGGACTGCTTTACATTTTATGAAATATTACTTACATTTCTCGAAACTCGAGTACGCTTACTTACGAATTACATGCTTGTATCTAAATTTATTTTACTTTACCGTGCATCATCCTAATCTTTGAATAACGAAATCCACGTATAACGTTTACCACCCGAACCCCATGTTTCAATACAAGGAATAATACAAAGGGCACATTGAAATGCGCATTTGACATAAAAGCTGTACAGGTTTTACTCATTGGACATCAGACAAATCTTCGGGGTGGTTTTTTTTGTTGCACACTCTTCTGTGTCTTTTTCCGGGCCTTCTGAATCCATCTCTGTATTCGCTCACACACTTTGAAGTGAGTTTCACCCGTGAAGTTCTTTTTCATAGTGCAATCTGCATAGTGATTCACAGTTAGATGATACGACACGCTTATCGACCACGAACTTCGCAACATAGGTAGGTTACATCCCATACTTGTTGGTAGTGCAAAACATACGCATGTAAAACTACTTCATTTGAGCAAACTGCCAGCTGATGTAACCGCTACTAAAATAAACAATTTCAATGGTTTTCAGTATTTGATTTATCATTCCGGTAATTTATTCGGTTACTTTTTCGTATTCCATTGAAAATCAGGTATGTACAGTCCCGACGGGACTCAAATAGGACGGTCAACCGTCCTTCTGTGTGGACAGGGTATATATATATATATTTACGGAACGGCGGCTCTCGAGTGTACCCCTGTACTGACTGGGTATATACAATTGTATATACCCAGTACACTGGATACATATTTATATATAGGTATAAAATTATGATGGGATACTTAGTTTTATTCAAATATATAAGGATGAAAAATTACTTCATTAGGTTCTTATTGTAACATTACATATACATGGTGTCATATTTATAAGTAATTATATAAATATAACTTTAATTATACATGTCACTATATATGTGTGGCGACAAGGTATTTCGCTATCATAACTTGCCTGGTTGGTTATATATGAGCATGGAGATGATATTCTGGAGCAGTTCCGTTATTTTATGTTCCCTCAAATAAGTGTCAACTTCATGTTTCCTGGGACAGTTTTCAAAATCCATTCTGATGAACTGATAGTAGAAACAACCATATTGATGTATTAGAACAAGGTCTCTAGATGGACGGGCTTAGGAATCAGTTTTCGATAAGCCTGGGTTCCGGTAGAAAGTTCACTGCCTAGCGACGGATGGAGGTTCTCGGAGTAGTGGTTTGTTACATGGAATTCGATTGTGTCTGAATCGACAGACAGTTAGGAATGCAACTGTACACTTCAGTTTGCACAAGACAGAAAATGATCACGGTTACTCACGCGTTCATAACTCCTTTGGTGGTATGCGATCAAGCATAGCATTCACCACCGCGAAAAGTAGTGCGTACTTCCTGGCTGGAAAGTGAAATTTACCTCATCTCACTTCCAACGCGAGAGAGTACTATTTATGAGCGTTCATCTCCCAGGTTACATCCGGATAAATGATGGGACAGGACTTCTGGCGGAGCCAGAAGCAGACCAGTTTGTTGCGCCAATGAGCTTGGGAGCACCACGGTGCTGCGACAAGTGTTTTATTTCGTTCACGTATACGTGAGTGAGTGTGGTTCTGGAAAAGGAAAACGCAATTCCGATGGTTCCTCAGAGTTAAAGTACACGTCTGAGGTTTTGTCAGGATCGAAGCAGTAGCTCGCAGTCAACCGCTCTGAGCTACCCAGAGTAGGAAATGTGTTGTGCAGAAGAAAAATGACCTAAAAGTGGTGGTGCTGGATGTTGAGAAGTTTCAGTAAAATGCCACTACCTCCTGATGCAGTTTGTTCCATGTATTAGTTACCCAGTGCAAAAAATTGGCTCTCAGGAGTTTGCGTGCCCGAGGCTTGTCTAACTTCATGCTATGTCCCCTTCTGTTAAGTACATTTTTCCACTGAAGTAGGTGAAAGTTTCCATGAGGGAAACCCGTGAAGATACGGAAGGTTTCAATCAGGTCTCCTCCTCAGCCTTCTACGATTGGGTGAGAATGGGTTCATCCCCTGAAGGCATTTGGTATATGTCGCTCCCCGAAGATGCGGGAACATGCGTGTGAACCTCT